CGATAAGGACGCGTTGGTTTTGACGTCATTTGCTATGTGCGTCTCGCTCTCACTACAGCGCCAAACTCAGCGATAATAGTGGGTGTTGTTACGGGGGGCACCTAATACTAACTAAATTGAAAATGTTCGCAAACTGCAAAACTTATTAGCTCCACTTGTTAATTTGGGTTGTCTGGGGCCGGTGGCAAATCAATGAGTTTACTCAAAAACAAGCTACAGTTGTTTTAAAAACTGATAATTTTCTTATTGTATTTAGCTCTTACCCTTTGTCTGTATTCAGTAGTATTTTTTTCTCATTTGCAAGAAATTTTCACGTTTTTTATTTAAAAAATCGCAATTTTTGGGCAATGTACTACCATTAGAAAATTCAAACTGACATCACAATGGCCCTGTCACTGTCAACTCAATCAACCCGAAACCGCTACTGCCAACCCACTGCAATATTTGACTAGGGCGTGGCGCGTGATAAAATTTTTCCAGTCAAAGAATAAGCTCGTTTAACTATCAACCGAAACCAGCAAATTAATTTTGGAAAATCGGGATAATTACAAGGCAAATATGATTATTGAACCTTGTGACAAAAACATTGCCCATAATTCTTGATGAGAGAGTGAGGAAAGTTGCTTCCATTAGCATCAGGAAAAGACGCTCCAATACTCCTAGGTTTGCGTGGCAGTCTCTCTCGTTTTTCCATTGTTAATTATGGGGCAAACTTCTCCATCCAGTAACGTTTAATTAGGGGGATCGTGTACAATTGCGTTCCGTAATGACAGCGCCAAGTCGGTAACTAGAGCGATAATCGCCTCCTCAAATAGGAAATGCCTCCAAGGATTACTCGGCCATATACTTAACGGTTGTGCATAATTTAGGCCTCAAAAACAAAAATACGCGACTTTTGAGTGCGGCAGTTTGATTTTGAGCTGCGTGCCATCAGCGACCAGTTTACGAGCATATGGCAATTATGGAATTAATGGACGGGTGCTGATTGGCGTGTAGAAGGGAAAGATTTTGATCATCACGCAACGTCGCCTTATGCTCGGACAGTCCCGGAAATCTGGACGAACCAAATCCGGCTTCGATTGTTTATTCATTTATTACCAATTGGTTTGGTGTGTTTTAAATCCCTTCGCAATATGGACTCGAATGCTCTTTCGGAAGCGGCCCCTCCGGCATATTGCGCGTATTTGGTCGTTCCGCTCGTTTGGCTCCATTAATAATTATGCGCCCATTTGTGGTTGCTTTTGATATATGCATTGTCATATGGCAGCAAATTAAATGTTTTCCGACAATACAGGGTGATTGGAAATTGCCGGTTGTTCTTTTAAGGGGTTATAGGGGCTCGCTTGGAGACTACTAGAAGATATTTCCAGTTGAAAATCGAATTGCAACCTTGTTATCAGGCATTATTTTGAAATGGTCCCATGTTTGATTGGAATACTTGAGCATTCGAAAAGAAAAATTACCATCTTTACTTTAAATTATGCAAGGTTTTGATGTTAAAAAGTACTCTGGCCAATTTTCTTGTGCGCGGACCGATCTGGAAACCGACAATTTATCAATTATAACCGGTGATTTAACGAGGCTCACGCCTCTGTTTCAAGCTGTTTCAAGCGTTTAAATCGGTCTAATGAATAAAATATGAGGGATGATAACTGGACTCGGCCAAGTGGAACTGGCCGGGACATATGGAGGGCATTACCAGATTTGTTTCAGGCTCCCCCTTTCTATGCGTGCTCGAAAACCCTCTTGTTACGCACCTGTGCCCCACTTGTCTCAAGTGCCGCACAGGTACTTTTGATTTTTCCACTTTTGCATGCAATGATTTCATTCGGTTGTTTTCCGGTCATTTTTGGCGCAAATTTACCAAAATGTTGTTTAAAGTCTAAGTATTGGGGCGGTTTAGATTCGTTTTATCCAGCATAGACCACAAAACGTACATACCTGGATTAAAACTTCGCAGATTCTCAAAAAATGCTGATGTTTCAACCAAAAAAACTCTTTCCAGGTTTCCAAAAAGTCCAATGTACTTAGTCAGAACATCGATGATTGCTGGCACTGAAAGCAACAGAAGTTGATGAATAAACTTCTGTTGCCGCTGCCCATAATCACTTGAGTTCGAAATTTCGTAAAAAACTTCCTGAATTTGCCATCAATTCGAAAATTTCAAGGAAAATTGAGTGAACTTTGCGCTATTTAACTAAAATTTGCCTACGACCTCGCGGCTTTAGTTTTCGAAAACTTCATTTGTGCAATCAGAGTGATTGCAAAAAATCGATGTTGCCTTTATATGTTGAAGTATGGAAATTTGTTAAAAAATTCCAAAAGGCGTCAATTCCAAGCCTCTAGACCAAATTAAGTGGGCGTTCTGCAAAGCAACTCTCAAATCAGTTGCTTTCTGTTTTTACTTTGAGAGAAAATTGCGTTTTTTGTAATGCTTGATGAAAGTCGCTGTTGTATTTGGAATTAATTTAAAAGTCCTTGAAGAAGTCATCAATTTAAAACGTTTAGAACTCTTTAAGTGAGCTTAGCACTATTTAACACAAAAACCGGCAACGACTTTGCGCTTTCAGTTTGCGAAAAATTAATATTTTTTCGGGTCATTGTGGAAGCTGGATGTGGACTATTAGGACTCAAGTTTGCAAAATCGTAAAAAAAATGTGAAAATGTCGTGGATTCTGAAAGTTTTGAAGACATTTTTACTGTTTGCAGAAAACAACTCGTGGTTGCTAACGTGTTGCCAAAAACCACAATTGAAAAATACCTAAAGGGGGACTCAATTCGAAACTTTCACAGCACTTTTAGTGGGTTGTGTGCAAAATAACCACAGAACCCACTACTGTTTTTAAATGCCTCCAGAAAATCGTTGTTCTTTTCGAATCATTCAACTTTGAAAAGTCATGGAAAAATCCCTGACGTTGTCATCAATTCGAAACTTTCAGGAGACATTAACTGAACCTTGAGCTATTTCGCGAAAAATTCAACAACATTATGGCGGCTTCAGTTTACAAAAACCTCAAACTTTTTTGAGTGATAGCAGAAAATCGATGTCCAACCTAATAAACCTAAACACATTCTCCTTTTTTACACCAATCATTGGGTACATTTGGAAAGACGAGTTTAAATCTAAATATTTTCTAGTCCACACGTTCCGTTTTACGTCTCAAAGTCAGAACATCGATGGTTGCTGACCATCGACATTCTAACTTTTCAAGGCGCTTCAGACACAAACCGGAGATTTAAACGGGAAGCATCAACATCACATCCGCTGACAGGTGTCACTCGAGTATCAAAACTCACTTGACCAGCTCTAATATTGACACTTGATTAATCATTTGTTCCCTAATTTGAGCTGTGAATTCCAAGTGTTTCTGGTGCAAAATACGCAAATTTCTGCCCATTTACAAATCCTGCAATAACAAGCGGCTGCTGTTGGGAAAATCGCCTGAATGATTGATTATAATGGGGCCAAAGCCGGGTTTTTCCAAATTTGGATTTAGCAGCATGTTCCACGTGCAGACTATGCATATTTAATCTGCCCCGCGCAATTAGCTTTTAAGGGATTTGCTGAATTTTTACCTCATCATATACGAGCTCAGCTTGCGATTGGCGCGCGTATTGCCGATTGCAATCAATCAATCAATTAATTAAGGGCGAATTTTAGCTTGGGAAATTTTGTGTTTTGAATCTGGGAGAACTTGAGAGGTCTGGGCCGTCGCGACGCCAACGGCGGGAAAATTCGGAAAACTCGGCACGCAGTAGTGGGGAGAAAATGGCGTCCGCTCAGGCCAAAAGGAAATGACGTATCCGATCGATACGGGCCAGTCGACGATTGGCCAGGGAAGCAGTGGGGGCGGGATCAACCGATTTTAATAGCCCAGTTTCCACTGTGATTTTCCCGACAACGGCCTGCTGCGTTTTTTCAGCCTCTGTTGATGTTTGGTCGGCCAGCTGTTCCTGTCCGAACTCGCCTCACTGATCGGATTCATCCGCTCTTGTCTTTGGCAGATGAGAAACTACTGCGAAACGAACGCTCATCACTAATGCAACACTTCAATTAAAACCGGAAAGGGTTCACTCTTCGGCACAATCGAAAGTCGAGCCCCTGAAAAGTCGACCCTTTGGGGAAATGCCGAATTTCCGGTCGGTTGGGGGGCTCACCAAACGTACCCCCTCCCTTCTGTCAAGTGTCTATCCATGTACCGCCACACGCTAAACAAATTATCCGCGTATCTCTTAAGGCCACGTGACATGCCGATTACGTAATGTGGCCCCCATGCACGTGCCAAAAATTACGCTTGCGATTAAGGTGTCTAATTCAATCAGACGAATACATCCATTATCCGTTTGATTGGGTTTAAGGTTTAGAGGAAAATACCAGGGGGTTTAAATTGGAGAACTTTGGATCTGGATAGTGGACAGTTCTTAAATTACTTGACAGTTGCTTCAGCTTCAGAAGCTTATAGAGAGTCCAGCCCAGAACTCCACCAGACAACCAATCAATTTCACCTGGTATATGAAGCAAACTAGATAAACACATGCTGGTTTCCATGACAACCGCTATGTTGCACTCGTTCTCACCCGCAGGCCAGTTCGATTGGAACTCATCAGTTGCGCTACCGGGTGCATTCAATGCGAAGAACCTTAAAAATTCCCCCATTTTGAGTCATTTTTCCAGAGCCCTTATACAGGGCGTTGTTACAATGGCAAGTAAACAAGCAAATCGCCCCCGAAATTTTAACGGAAAAATGAATTACAATTCATAGCACTAGAAGCCACGTGTGGCAAGCAAATCGAGAACAAGTGTTTCCCCTTCGAAAACGGAAACGTGGAAACGAGCGGCACGTGCCCAAACCACTCAACTAATAAGTTTGTTCCGAATTATTGAATCAATTTTTGCTGCCAGAATGGGCCGAGGGCCGCAATTAGTGGCCGATCAATTTGCAATAAGCAACCACCGCTTTCAACCCCCCATATATAAATGAATGTTTTACTTGTTTCAGAGTCGCATACTAGAGGACGCATCGATAATGTGCAACTCGTGGTCGCCCAGACACAATGTGAGTCCGTTTTTTTTAACACCCTTTCATCAGTTGCAAAAGCTCGAAAAGTTGTGAAACTGGCCAATTAACGTTTCAACGCTCGCTGAAATATTAAAAGGCTGCTGTCAATGTTCAAGAACAATTAAAGACCTGCTGACAAATGAGGCTAAGATTAAGTTGGCGGTTAATAATGAAAGAGGCCCCGGCCAGGGAAAGCGTCATTAATAAGGAAACTTCCTTTAGTTTCGATTATCAGTCTTTTCTATCAATCTTTTTCGGTTGCAAACTGCAACCGAAAAAAATGCCTAGAAACGTCGTATTATATCGTCGCTTATTTAATTGGTAGTTATACCAGTCCAGTTGCCCAGTTCCCAGCGTTCGAAACCCCCGACAAGAACAGTTGGCGTAAACAGAAAAAGTTTCCCAAAACAAATGGTGAGCAATCAGTCTTATTACTTGCATCCAGTCTACCTTGAAACAGATGAAGAGTTATGGCAACCGTGACAAGTGATAATCGCAGTAATTCCATTGCCTGCTCGTTAGTTGTGCAGGGGTAGCAACCGGGTAGATTTATCACGAGTGCCCGGCTTTATTTAAAGGTTAGGTTTACAACCCTCATTTGTCTTTTCCCGTTCGGTTAGTAGGAAAGCGCGCCAGCGAAATGATTAGCGGATTATGGAAGTTGGAAAGCGTGGATTAATAAGGGCCGCACCAAAATCGGACGGTTTTAATGCGCGCTGTCTGCTGTTTCATTTGGAGAGCAACCATTCAAAATATTTTAATGGAAAGCGAGCAATTTTCCAGGTGATTTTCCCATACTCACTCAATCCGCCACTGCGCCACTGGCGGGGGAACGCGCCAATGAATTATAAATGAGCCCTAAGAACTAACTCCGGCCAGCCCCCGAGCCCCTGTTTTTGTACTTTTAGACGCACCCCATCGCCGTTCGTCAAACAACGTTTCAAAATTTTAAGCTTTATGTTTAAAATGTCTTAATTCCTCTTACGCTTTTGAGTGCTGTGAAGTTTTAAATGATTTTTGATGACGATTTGCACTTTAAACCCGGCTGGAGGGGGGCCAAAACTCTTCTCTCTTTTCCGTTTCAATGTTTTAAATGGCATCGGGTTTTCTCAGTTAAAACCGTCAAAAGTTGCCGATTTAACAGCCATATGCCAGTTCAGGTTGCCTCCTATCGGATGGATGTGTTTTATATGAGTGACGCGGCGCCGTCAAGCCCAAGAGTTTTCGAGTTTCACAATTTCGCTCCGAATGCCCTTTCAGCCATGTTTACCTAACTCTCTCTCTCGAGTATTTTTAGACGCAAAAATCAATGTCCCATTTGCTTGCTTTATAGTTTGCCTTTTCATGTTGTGATTGCTCTGAACAGCGATCTTAATCCAGCCAAGAATCCAACGGAAGAAGACCTTTGCTTGGTTTATTTGGGTGTTTTAAGATTTACTGCAATTAGTTTTGGCGATGGTGAGGTTTCAATTACAAAAAATGACGTGGAAGGTTCTCAAGCAGCCTTTTGAAAGATTATCAACTTTTCCGTTCCACCTCGTAATCGCATTGAGTTAATCGGGATTCAGTCAAGAGAGAAAACAACCACGCGGTTGCCATGGAAGTCATGCTGTTCTTGTCGCTCACTGCAGATTACCAGGGCCGATTCAAACAAATTGGAAATCTTAATGGAAATCTACTTTTTATCAAACTGTCCGAATGTCTAGAGCCAACTGTCTGCTAAAGGTGGTGAAAATTTCAAATCGCTACTTTCCGCAGTTGTGTAAAACATTTTGAAACCGATGTTGACTAAGCTGAAAATAAGCTGCATTTGGGATTATTTTTTATGAAACTTCCAGGATCTTTAGCATCAAATGTCTTCTAAGCATGGTGCAAATTTCAAACTGATACTTTGTTCAGTTTGGAAGGTAGGATTTTTTGAAGGACGAAGCGTAGTTGAGCAAAATTTTTCATTTTCAGTTTTTTCTAAGGTAGTTATTTACTAAGGTAGTAAAAATCAGGATTTCTGGGGATTTTCATCAGACTTTCAACATATTCAGAGTCAACTGTTCTCTAAACACGGTAAATAATGTCAGATTGCTACTTGCACCAGATTGGTAAATGTGAATTTTTAAAACGCGTGTGCGCAGATGAGCAAAAGATCCACTTTGAAACCTTGATGTTTACTGAGCTGAAAATACGCAGAATGTTGTGGTGATTTAGATGAAACTTTCAGCATGTTTAGAGCCAGCGGCTGTCTACCGATGGCGAAAAATTCAAATTGCTACTTGCATTAGTTTGGTAGAAGCGCATATTTAAAGGCGTGAACGTAGTCTCGAAAAACATAAATTTTGAGTCTTATATTTCAGAATATCACAGGGCCACTTTTCATGAACCCTCCAGCACCTTTAGGGTCAACTGTCTTCTACAGATGGTGAAACTTTCAAATAAGTTCTTGATTCAGTTGAGAACATATGATTTTTCAAGGCAGGGAGGGCTTAATTTCTAAAACTTTTCACTTGCGTATTTTTTCATCTCATAGCTTTCAAGCTCAAAAACTCCTCAGCGTAACAAAGCGTAATATAAAGACTGTGACCGCAAAAACTCTGCAAAAATGAGTCTAAATGAACGTTGTTGATCTCTTCTATTGCCCAAACACTCCAAAAGAAGTCCAACTCAACGCTTTGTTCCCATGCTTGGAAGCATCAAAGTAACGAAATCCAGATGAAATGGGACAAATCCGCACTGATAATCGCCCGCTAAACGTATCGGAATTAAAAGGCAACAGCTAAGGCCGGCGCAAAAATCATAAATTATTTAGGGCCTTTTACCGTGTGGAGCATTGCGAGACTTCATAAAATTTTCACCATGTTTATTAGAGCGGGTTTCTTCAATATTTAAGCCCGTTTTTATCCAGCTTCTGGAGATGGAGGCCAAATTAGCACTGTGTCAAGGACAACAAACTGGCGGCTTTTCTTCACGTAAAACTAGCCGCTGACCTTAATGAGGCTTCCAGCAAATCGATAATTTTCAAGCACAAATGCTTCATCTGTGGCCTACCAGAGCCCTTTATCTGGGGGTGTGACTGAACGAAAAAAACTGGACAATGTCCCCTAATGAATGACACGAATCTCGAACAAGCTGCCATTTCCGCTACCCAAACATATTAAAACGATATCAGGCCGAGTGTATCTCGGCCCGAATTACCTTTTGATATTGATCGATTTGACCAGTCCGGAACGTTTACGCGAACGAAGAAAAAATACCGAACGTTTCCCCTGTTTCAGGGGGACATTTTTTCCGGCCTCAATGACGGTCTGATCAGTCGAGCCGAAGCCTTGGCGGCCGTCGACATTAAGCATCAAGGCTCAGGAGGACCAGGCGGCCTTCCTCAGCTCAAGCATGACATGATGTATCACCACAGCATGACGGCACCACCCCCGGTTAGTAGATCCCATCAAGTAAGTTAACAAACCTTAGAAGTAACCTTTCGAGCCTTGGATGAATGAAATGCCCTGTATATTTCTCCCACCTTTATAACGCATAGGAAAAGGGTCTGAGAATATGCAGCAGACAAATCAATTTTATATAGGGAGTAGCGGACTTTTCAAAAGTTTCCATACACGAGTTTGAGAAGAAACGCCCAACCGCGCCTGCAAGGCTCTAGAAAGATGTCTATAAATCTCAATCCAGGAATAAAATTAAATTGTAATTTTAACAGCGTATAGAAAATGCCTCTCAGAATATTCAGAGAAAAAATCACTAAAATTTGGAAGTCGCTGATTTTTCAAAAGCTTCCTACCTCGAGCCTGATAAGAAACGCTCAAGCGCTTATGCAAAGCTCAAGAAAAAATGTCCCTAAATCTCAAACCAGGGATAAAATATAGTTATAATTTTTTGAGCATAAAGAAAATGCGTTCACTAATATTCAGGAGAAAAATGACTTTAATATTGAAAGTCACTGATTCTTCAAAAGCTTCCAAACTTGAGCTCGAGAAGAAACGCTCAACCGCTCATGCAAAGCTCTAGAAAAACGTCTCAAGTCTCAATCCAGGAATAAAATTAAATTGCAATTTTAACAGCGTACAGAAAATGCCCCTAAGAATATTCAGGAGAAAAATGACTTTAATATTGGAAGTGGTTGATTTTTCAAAAGCTTCCAAACTCGAGCCTGATAAAAAACGCTCAAGCGCTCATGCAAAGCTCTAGAAAAAAATGTCCCTAAATCCCAAACCAGGAGTAAAATATAGTTGTAATTTTTTGAGCGTATAGAAAATGTGTCCACTAATATTCAGGAGAAAAATGAGTTTAATACTGGAAGTCGCTGATTTTTCAAAATCTTTCAAACTTGAGCTCGAGAAGAAACGCTCAACCGCTCATGCAAAGCTCTAGAAAAACGTCCCTAAGTCTCAATCCAGGAATAAAATTAAATTATAATTTTAACAGCGTATAGAAAATGCCCCTAAGAATATTCAGGGAAAAAATTACTTTAATATTGGAAATCGCTGATTTTTCAAAAGCTTCCAAACTCGAGCCTGATAAGAAACGATCAAGCGCTCATGCAAAGCTCTAGAAAAAAATGTCCCTAAATCTCAAACCAGGCATAAAATATAGTTGTAATTTTTTGAGCATAAAGAAAATGCATCCACTAATATTCAGGAGAAAAATTGCTTTAATGTTGGAAGTCGCTGATTTTTCAAAAGCTTCCAAACTTGAGCTCGAGAAGAAACGCTCAACCGCTCATGCAAAGCTATAGAAAAACGTCCCTAGGTCTCAATCCAGGAATAAAATTAAATTGTAATTTTAACAGCGTATAGAAAAGCCCCTAAGAATATTCAGGAGAAAAATAACTTAAATACTATTTTCATTTTTTTAATTTAGAATTTTCAGTCTCGAGCCTGAAAAAAACCACTCAATAGATAAGATTCATAAATAAATAATAAAACTGGTTGATTGGCTGCCAGCCCCTCCAAACAATGCGCTAATATACAGGGTGTCCTAGTTAAAGAACCGGAACTTTGACATCAATTTCCGATCGGAGCGGAAGTCGACGGAGCACTTAGATAGAATAGAATACGCAAATTTCGATCGTATTTGGCCGCAAAGCGAATTCCAATGATTCACATCGTGCATAGAACGTGGCCCGGGCTCCCGGCAGAGTCATTTTTCATCATTAGGCCCCGGCAATGGTGTAAAGTGGTCATTTGACGTTCTATAACACACACGCGCTCCCCCTGGGGGCTGCACAGGGAGCCCCCCAAGGGAAATGTCTGCGCCCCTACATGTTTGTCTAAGGCCGTTTGTCAAATGTTACTGTTTCCACACACGTTATGTTTGGCTCGCTTTTTTCGAGTGTACTTGCCGACGTTTGTTCTACTCTCTATATCGCTTTTGTTCTAAAGTAAGGGGGGACGTTTTCACGTCATTGTTTTGCTTGCTAGATTGTTTCCGAATGATAGTTTCAGCCTAAGCAAACGGTGCGATGCGATTGCAATGATTACAGTTGGTTTAGCAAATGTTTGCATGCAAACCGACTAAGATTTTATCTAAAAGTCAGAACATCGATGGTGGACAGCTGATCAACTCATGTTGATGCGGAACCCATCGATGTTCTAACTTATTTTCGAGTGAAACAGATCGAAACAATGGAAAAAACTGTGAAAACACCACAATAATAATGACCAATGGGCTTAGTTATTATCAAAAATTAACGACAAATCCCTAAATATGTTTAAACATTCAAGAGTAAATTTCCGGGAAGTTAAATATGCATGGGGCGTTATTAGCCAGTATTATTTTGTTATTTATTGTCATTTAGAATGCGAGTTATTTGTACTTATAAACATAAAAATCTTGTCTAAAAGTCAGAACATCGATGATGGTCAACTAGTGTTAAGCGAAATTCACCACCATCGACTTTCTGACTTTTAGAAATTTTTTGCTAGTGCAAGAACCTGAACATTTATTATCTATACAAAATTAATTGTCAATTTTGCGTCGGATACTAAACGAAAAAAAATGAAAAATTTTGGGAGCTGGAGACTGAAGAAGCATGCGGTTTTCCCATAGATATCTCGAAAACTGTCTAATTGTAGAGTGCCGTTGCCTCTGCCGTTTTTTTCGCAAACTTACCTTTTTTCTTTGGATGTTCGGATATTTGTTCAGCATCCATCCCAAGCGCCTGAAGGCGCATATTGGTAGTGAATATAGTTCTTTCGAATCCATCCAAAGCCCTGGAAAGTTCAAATTGCAAACAATTACAAACAAAACACAAAAAATACAAACAAACCCTCTAGGCCTCTAATAGTAAAATTTTGCTTGATAAATTGACTGCCAACATTGACGGTTATTCGTAACTTTTCCCGTTTAGCATTTGGATGTTTGGAAATTTTGGCGCCTTTGTCGGGAATCAGATTGATCATCAAACAAAAATATCTCGTCTAAAAGTCAGTACATCGTTGGTGGTGCACTAGCGTTAAACGAAATTGATGACGATCGACGTTCTGACTTTTAGAGAACTTGTCGCAATTGCGAGAATCTAAATATCTATTGTACAAAATCAATTGGTTTTCCATCAGCACGCTGAACCTGCTGAAACTTAATTGGGTTTTGACGCGAAAATTGTCAATTTCACGCCAATACTGAACGGTTTTTTCTACGCCAGGACGGGAAAAAAGCGAAGAATTTAGGGGCCCTTTGGGAGGTGATTTGATGCATAGGGTGGGGCCATTTCCATGCATTTTCGGGGCATTAGGACCAACTGTTTCCGTAACAGTAGTGCCCTTGTGGATGGCGAAATGCGTTTTTTTACTTGCATTGCACCGGAAAAATGAGCAAAATGAGTGCAACTGGCTATTAATAAAACCCGCGGATTTATCAGCATTTACTATTGGCAATCGAGCGTTTTTACGATGACAAAGTGTGTGTTTATCCATGTAAACTAGGCATTAAATATGTGGCCCGGCCCTGGATAAGTCCATAAAATAAAATTCATGTTTACTGCTCGCCATTTTTACGGCTCCATATTCCTCTGTGTCATGATTGCATCATAATTTTCGACAACGCACATGCAATGAAATCCACGATTGTGGAAAAAATATCCTGTTTGCTTTTCCATGTTGTTGATATTGCCGTTATGTTTTTTTTCCTCTCCACGCTCTCCATGCCCGAGCTGTTTGCGCTCTGCGGAAATTTACACGCTGTTTTGCTGCATAAAAATAATTACTTTGGGGACGCTAAATATTAATCGAGCGACAACATTGCAACGTTGCTTTCCAGATGGGTCACATGGACGGGCTGGAAATGCTGGACCCCATTTCGTCCTCATCGATGACGACATTGACCCCCATGTCCGAGACGCCCACGCACATGCACTCCGCCTATGGAACCAACCATTTTATGAACCATCACCACCATGGTGGCCCCCTTTCAGGACACGGCGCTCCAGGTAATGTCTATGGATTGGGGCGCGATCGGGCCCTGATAGGGCCTGAGCGGCGTATTTGGCACTTTTCGTCCAAGATTACCTACTAATTTTAATTAGATGTCAATTATTATGCACTAGGCCACCATCCGGGCCATGGGGGCCATCCAGGGGCGCACCATTCGTCCGCAATGGCGGCCGCCGCTGCAGCCGCCGCCGTTGCCGGACTCCATCCAGACGCCGACACTGATCCCAGGGAATTGGAGGCTTTTGCGGAAAGGTAAGCTACGCTTCCCAAATTCCCCAAATGCCAGGAAAAGTGTCGCAATAAGGGCGCAAAAATATCCGCTTCATTTGGTGCGTTTTTGAGGGTTTTCCATTCGGGCACGACCAAGGGCGGATCCAGGGGGGGGTCATGGGGGTCATGACCCCCCCATTCAATTCTCTATCCAACATTGCCAAAACGAATTCTCTAGCTCGAATGGTTCTTGAGAAACTTCGAAAAAAGCAGCGCCATGTTCAAGTGGATTTTGCAACTCAAAAAAAACCACGCAAATCTAACACTTCTTGAATTCAAGCATTTGTTGAGAAAACTGCCAACATTTCCTTATCGATGGTTCACTTTCTAAAAAGGCCATTTATTTCTCTCTAGAATGATGTACAAATGAGCGTTCTTGC